GTAGAATTTGATGAATTTGATCGGTCCATTTGTGGGTTTATAACAGTATTGAAGTCTCCAGCAATAATAATATTATTTGTATCGGGTAGTAGTGAGAAGAAATTATGAAAGAAGGATGAATCATCATTGTTTGGCCCATAAATATTAGCTAGTGTGTATGTTATATGGTTAATGGATACATTGATGATGACAAATCTCCCTTCAGGGTCAATAACAGACGTGTTAAGAATTAGTGGGATATTTTTATTTATTAATATTGAAACTCCTCGTTGTTTACTATTGTATGTTGATGAGATTATGTTGTTAAATTGAAAAAATGTTAGATTTCCAAGTTCTGATTTTGATAAGTGTGTTTCCTGTATAAAAGATATATCGGCCCCTAATTTCATCAGATGGTTAATTATTTTAGTCCTTTTTGCCTGGGTCCGGAAGCCACGCACATTCCATGATACTATTTTAAGTGTTTGCATGATTGTTGATTAAATGTCTAGAAATGGAAAATGATAATAGTAATAAAAACAAAAAAGGAAAGAGACTGTAGGCTATACAAATGTAGAGTATACATATAAACAAGTACAGAGTGACAAAGTGAGACAGAATAAACAAAAACATAAGGATCGGTGGGTTAAGATCCACGTATCCGTTTAAAGAACAGAGAGAGGGTGATGCATCATCAATATATAATATGACAGTCACAAATTGTTCGATGTTATAGCTACTGTATTAAAAGAGCCATGGAGTAATTTTTGAGTCATGGTAGAGCTGTCCATCGATAAAAAGTTTGTCCACAATTATATTTGCACGTTTATTGTTTTGTCTGTGTTTTTTCATGATGGGGTAGAGAATTTTGCGCCGATTGTTTATTTCGCGTGGAAATTGGTCATTTAATCCGTAGTTGGTTCCTTTCAGTTCTTTGCCTTTGCTTTTTATGAGTTCTTTGTGTTTGTAATGTTCCAGTTTAGCGATGATCGGTCGAGGTGATTTATTTGAACGTGTTCCGAGACGGTGAACTCTGTGGAAGGTTATTTCATTTACAGTGTCCGGTTGAAGTTTGAGTTGAGTCTTCATGAAGTCTCTGATCATTGCTTCGGGATCGTCGGGGGAGTTTTCAGTGATGCCAGAAAATATCAGGTTATCGCGCATGCTTCTCGTTTGAATGTCCAGAATGGTTTCTTTCATTAATTTGTTTTCTTTTATGACTGTATCCATCTGTTTGTTGAGTGATTCAACATTAATTTGTAGAGATTTATTCGATTGTTCTAGCTTCTCAATATGTGTGTATGCAAATTCCAGACTTGATCGAAGTTCTTTTATTTCGTCATGTACCGTAACCAGTAAATCCAGTTTGTTGTTAATGGATGCGAGTACACTGACCTCAATTTCTGTAGTTTGTAAATCGCTGGTGTCAGTAGATGATGTCTTCTTTCGTTTGGTTGGTTTCGGAGTTTGCTGAGTTGTAGTGGTATCCATTGTATAGCGGTTGTAGTGGTGATCGATGTATTTCTCTAAGTCTGTTAATTTATCCAGTGTAGAGGAGGGTAATATGTTCCCGCGGTGACCGGTATGCGGTTCAAAAATATTGCCAGTATTGGTACAGCTCTCTCAGTGAGCGCGCGCCGCCATGATGAATCTCGCCCTCTCTGCGCGAATCTCCTGACAACTTTTTTTGAAATAAAAGTTGCAGCACAACTTCTGGATTTTAAATAAAAATATTAAGTATGTGTTTGTGGTACAGCCGCGGATCAGTTATTCACTGCAAACGCATCATATGTGAAACTGCACTATAGCGCGCGTTGCCCCTGCACCGCAACACGCACTGCAAACGGGGTGTGTGTGAAACGGGCGTTAGATGATAGATCCACCTATACAGTTCTTAGAAACTTAGATGTGTTTAACAACTCTTTTTTTCGTACAACAGCAGCACTCATCTTGTTCGTTTATAGCGGATGCGGATGAACAGCCGTAAACCGGAAACTGACATGCCGACTTCTGACAATAGCGGAAGTTCGAAATTACGCTTGTGCACATAGCCTATTGGTTGCATGTTTTAATGCTGCATGTTTGGTGTTTGAATATATTCAGGGATGCACACAGGCAAAATGTAATAAAAAATGAGTATGAGGAAGAGTGAAGAGTGAGTGTGTTGCAGCAGAGCTTTCAAAGAACGAGAAACACATTGAAATAAAAGCTGATTAAAGAGCTTAATCCCACCAAAGCCACATCGGGAAAATAATTCACAAATGTAGGTGTTATCCTACTGGGCGTTTTGACTTAGAATTACCTTTATTTTTATTTTATTTATTTTGGTTTATTTGATTTAAATTGTATTTTTTTGTTTATTTTTGTTACTTTTTTAAATTTAATTTAATTAAAAAAAAAAACAGATTTCTCATCAACATTCCAATTCATGTCTTTCTGAGGTTTAAACTCTAAAAATAATTATAAAAAAATCTAAACAGGAATAAAACAATATTGTTGCTCATCCTGCCTCACTCTCCTTGTCTTGTCTCTTTCTCCTCATCCCATCTTTTTCTGTTTTCATGTTCTCACACACACACAAAAAAAAACATTGTTGTTCTCATCATATCTCTTTCCCCATGTTTCTCTCTTCATCCTGCTTCTTATCTCTCTCTCTCTCTCTCTCTCTCTCTCTCTCTCTCTCTCTCTTTAGTTCTACCTGTTCATCCTCATCCTGTCTCTCTCTCCTCATGCCTTTCATCTCATCCTGTTCCTCTCATCATGTGTCTGTCTCCATCTAAGTGACTTGAGGCTCTTCATGAAATCAGGTCTGAGGAGTGGAGTTCTGAAGTCTGATCCGCACGAGTTTAGTGTTCCTCGCACAAGTTTCTGTGGATCTGATCATCATTAATATCTTTTGCTCGCATGTCATTATCATTACTGCGTTGCTTTGCTGCTCAAGTGTTGCTCACACACTTTAGATTCCACACACAATCAGCACTAAGTGATCCTGTTGCCGTGGAGACGTGGTGGTCACTCGATCCTGTCTGTTGGTCTGGATAATGCCTTCATCCCTGAGTGGCATTATAATGGAGTTAGGCGGGTCTGTGGCTAAATTTACTACACACACACACACACACACACAGTGAGAGATGACGGTATTAATCCTGCTGCTGCTTATTTGAGGTTTATCTGACCATGGCCTTTCCTTACCAAACCAATTTTCCGAGACGTGACATTTTCACAAGACATTTTGTAACAGCGGGAATCTTGTTCGATTCGCAGAGTACTTTGTGTTCTTGTTGTATTTAGCCTGAGATGTGACCGTATAAATGGAAATATATGCATATAAAGCAGTTACATTTAGTTTCAGCCAAATAATTCGTTAACTAGTGGTCATCTGATACGGCTGACGCCATTTGCTAAATAGCAGGATGGTTGATGGTTAATATAATGCTGAAATATTATAATCCATTTAGTTTAATGGTGTATTTAACAGCTAGTTAGTCTCAAATGTGCCGGATAAACGCTTCAGCTTAGAGACCCATGTGTGTCCTGACTGAAGTGGCCTCTCACTTTGCAAAGCCTCGTTCTGTTCTTCCCTTATTTTCATCCCTTGTTCTTTAATCCTCATGGTTCTTCCTCTGTGTTGGATGGGTTAAGAGGATTTCAACCCCTCCTGTGTCTCTTCAGTCTCCTGCGGTTCTCTTCAGCACGTCCAGCACTGCCGGAGCAAACCTGGCCTTTTCCATTAGCTTTTCCTTTTCCTTCTCTTTTATTTCTTGGTTTCCTGAATCATTTTTCACTTTCTTTTTTTCTTTCCTTTCCCTTTTTCTTTTGGCGTTTCCTAATCTCTTTTGTTTCCCTTTTTCTTGACTCACTTTTCCCTCCCCTTAACCTTTTCATTTCCTTTTTTCCTTTTCATATCTGTTTATTTTATATACTTTTTATTTTTTTGCTTTTAATTTTTCCCTCTTCCTTTTCCGTTTCCGCTTTTACATGTGTTTTATTTCCCCTTTTCTTGGCACACTTTACCCTTTCCTTTCCTTTCCTTTCCCTTCCCAATATCCTTTTCATTTTCCTTTTTTCCTTTCCCTTGTGTTGTTTTCTTGGCTCACTCCCATTCCCTTTCCTTTTCTTTTTTTCTTTTCCCTTTCTCGTCTTTCCATTTTCCTTTTCCCCTTTGTATTTCTCTCTTATTTCCACCTGTTATCCTCATTCACCTTTCTCTTTCCATTTCCTTTCCTTCATATTTCTATTCCTGTTGATATAGTTTCGGGTTAAAGGAACTGTTGGGCAAAACAATCAGGAGGAAATCTATTTTTATTTGTTTTTCACAGTTTAATGTGCAGAGACAGAAATAAGGAAGTCATTTGCATGTTAAATCTCCCAAAAAGTATAAACACTGACACTGATACTTCACATCAGGTTGTGAATCTTTTTGTCTGAACAAAAGCATGTTTGGGACTGTCTGTTTGACTGACCAATGATGGAAGGACCAGTTCAGGAAAACTGCTTCAGGAAATGTGTTTTGCTCTATTCACTATCAGGGCAGAAATATGACTCGAGGCCTGGCTAGTTCACAATGTGTTACTGTAAGCATTGCACTGTTTGCTCACAGTTCATTGTCATAGAAGTGTGTTTGCTCCGCAGAGAGGTCGAGGGTCCCACACACAGACCAAACAAACGCTGAATGAGGCCATCTCTGAATTCTGTCATCATCTGCCATCGACTGCTCTCATCTTGCTTTCTTCTAGAGCCAGTTCTTTCCACAAAATGAGCCACTGCTCTCCTGTTGTGCCCTGGGCTTGTGTGTGTGTGTGTGTGTGTGTGTATTCAGATGAGGACAGAGAGGTATAGCCCACGGCACTTAGCATGTTTTAGATATGAGCTGTCACTTCAACAGCAAGTGGAGATGAGAAGAGAGGGATGTTCAACACACACACACATCCAAAGACACCTGTTAGTGTTAACTAAGTTGTAGTTGTGCACTGTTAAAAGCAGTGTTAACCCTCCCTCCATGTCTGTCTTTCCTTCTCCAGCAAGCTGTTCAGTGATTTTATACTCAAAGTTCCTCTGGGGCGTCTGGTGAAGCAGAAGTTGAACTGCATGATTGACATCGTCCACAGTGACCTGTTTACTCAGCATGGTACGTACACACACACACACACACACACACACACACACACAGATTGTCTCTAAAGGTCACTGTCTGACACCAGCTATATGATGGTGTGTTTTTTTCTGGTGGCTGTGCGATGTTGTGATTAGTGTGTTTTCTGGAAGCGCATCTCTTCTGATGGGTAAAATACGAAGCCTTATGAAGATTACATGGTTGCCCACGTTGAATATGGGATCCTTCCTTCCTTCCTTCCTTCCTTCCTTCCTTCCTTCCTTCCTTCCTTCCTTCCTTCCTTCCTTCCTTCCTTCCTTCCTTCCTTCCTTCCTTCCTTCCTTCCTTCCTTCCTTCCTTCCTTCCTTCCTTCCTTCCTTCCTTCCTTCCTTTCTTCCCTCCTTTCTTCCCTCCTTTCTTCCTTCCTTCCCTCCTTTCTTCCCTCCTTTCTTCCCTCCTTTCTTCCCTCCTTCCTTCCTTCCTTCCTTTCTTCCCTCCTTTCTTCCCTCCTTTCTTCCCTCCTTTCTTCCTTCCTTCCCTCCTTTCTTCCCTCCTTTCTTCCCTCCTTTCTTCCCTCCTTCCTTCCTTCCTTCCTTCCTTCCCTCCTTTCTTCCTTCCTTCCTTTCTTCCCTCCTTCCTTCCTTCCTTCCTTCCTTCCTTCCTTCCTTCCTTCCTTCCTTCCTTTCTTCCCTCCTTCCTTCCTTCCTTCCTTCCTTCCTTCCTTCCTTCCTTCCTTCCTTCCTTCCTTCCTTTCTTCCCTCCTTTCTTCCCTCCTTTCTTCCCTCCTTCCTTCCTTCCTTCCTTTCTTCCCTCCTTCCTTCCTTCCTTCCTTCCTTCCTTCCTTTCTTCCCTCCTTCCTTCCTTCCTTCCTTCCTTCCTTTCTTCCCTCCTTCCTTCCCTCCTTCCCTCCTTTCTTCCCTCCTTTCTTCCTTCCTTCCTTACTTCCTTCCCTCCTTCCTTCCTTTCCTCCCTCCCTCCATTATCACTCCCTCCCTCCCTCCATTATCACTCCCTCCCTCCCTCCATTATCACTTCATTATATTGTAGTAATGCCTGATGTACAGTAAGATGCATATAAAAACTTTTGGCTACCATTTTTAATGCAGTTGTCTGCAAAAAAGTTCTATATTGGTGTATTTCTAGCAGAAATCCAGATAACTCTCATGAATATTTGTGAATTTGCATGATTGATGCCGTATGTAAGGTTGGTGTGAGTGTGTAAGCGATGTGCACGAGTTCTCTGTCAAACTGAGTTTTAGTTACAGAAATGTTTGTGTTGTGTGCATATGTGTGTTGTGTGTGTGTGTGTGTGTGTGTGTGTGGATGCGTCCCAAGGTGAAGTGTAGTGTTAAAACAGTGACATATGGCAGCTCTGCGGGTCGATTGTAAGTAGATGCACGTCGTTCATCAGTAATTATCAGTGGATGTGTCTCCTGTTCTGACTTAATTAAATCACTCATCACACGTCCATGCACTGTCTCATGCACTTCAGTTTCTCTCGCTCACATAAGGAACAACATAAAGAAATCAGGATTTATTGAATAAGAGTACAATAATTTGATTTATTTACAAGTGTAAATCTGATAATTTGATCAATAACTTTGAGCTGCGAGCATGTGCAGCATTAGCTTTGTATATACGTTTAATGCATTTAACACTGCAAGATAAATAAAAGTTAATTCAGAACTTTGTATATGGAAATTGTAATTATAATTGTATATGAAATCACTAAAGATATTTCCATAAATTGAGCGTCAGCGTCAGTTCTGGCAGGCCAGGTAGTCAAGCCGCTGCTTATGCTATTTGCTATCGACACTGTCCCGTCAGCTGATCTGCTCCAGCTGAGCTGCATTAGCTGGTTAACTCCCCTCGCTGCTCAATGGCCAAAGCTCAAACAAGGCGCCCTATTTAAAGCTCATTCACCTTGCTTTAAATGCTTGCTGCTCGCTCTGCTGGCTCGCTTCTGCTGGCTCGCTGCTCGCTTCTGCTGCAATATTGACACAGGACTCGACGTGATTCATTCTCCATTCATCTCTGAAAATCTTCACGAAGCTAAGTTCCTTTTTAATATTCATTGCTAAAAGCTATCAGTGTGTTGGCAACATGCTTCTTGTTAATGCTATCCGTGTTGCATTTGGGCTTATCTAACTAGTTGTTTTCATAAAAATGCTTATGCGATCATATTGGCTACGTGCGTTATCTGTTGTCATTGGCAACTGATCACGTTGCTCACGCTGGCTTTTACCACTATATGCAGCGCAGATTCAAACAGCTTGCTGTGATAGGAATTAACTTCTGCGGACTGCCTTTTCGGACCGTATACAGCTCATTCTTACGTTACTGATCCACTTTTGCGACACGACTGAAGCGTGGTGTCGTGACGCCTCCCCACATTTGTTCATTGATGGGCGTTCCTCGTGTTTACCGCTATGGGCGGGGTTTTGAGCCAGCGGCCAGTCTAGAACAGAGGACTTGCGAGAGACTTCCCCCCGTCTCCATATGCTCTACTTCTATTGGATAGACGCTTCGCGTTTGACGGATTCATTTGCATAAAGCTGGGCATCGGCCAGCTTTTGGACGCGCAGCATTTTTTCAAATGAAGCGCCGCCTTCCTGGGATGCTTTGCGGGCGCGTTAAAGTCGCGTGACGTCACCCATAGGAATAAAGTGGAGTGCGGCGCGACTGAAGTGTCGCACGGACAAGTGGATCAGTACCGTTACGGTAGAGATCCACTTTTGCGACACGACTGTAGCGTGGTGTCGCGACGCCTCCCCACATTTGTACTTTGATGGGCGTTCCTCAAGTTTACCGCTATGGGTGTGGTTTTGAGCCAGCGCCAGTCTAGAACAGAGGACCTGCGAGAGACTTCCCCCCGTCTCCATATGCTCTGCTTCTATTGGATAGTCGCGTCGCGTTCAACGGAATTCATTTGCATAAAGATGGGCATCGGCCAGCTTTTTGACGCGCAGCATTTTTCCAAATGAAGCGCCGCCTTCCCGGGATGCTTTGCGGGCGCGTTAAAGTCGCGTGACGTCACCCATAGGAATATAAGGGCCCTTACATAGTCAACGCATCGGTACGCATACGCGTGCGCAAGGCTACACATCGCTACGCTTCGGCCGCCATTATGCGTCGATGCGTAGCCAAATGTGTCATCCTAGTTTTTGATACGCGACGCGCCGATGCACGCAATACTATGCGTTGTCGGTGGGGGCGACATTGCAAGTAATGTACATAAAAAGGTATATTATTATGTTTACAGAAGAAGAAGATTTGAATACAATGGCGGGCGAAGAGGAAAAGTTATGCGAGCTTGTTCGTATACATCCTTTGTTGCCGCCGATGTAAAATCAGCAATATGCACTCCTCTTCAGTTGCCATTTTGATCTGAATATTACGTGACTCGACTCTAGACTCTACTACCCCCTGCTGCGCGATCGGTGTATTGCATTTCACGCATCGCCGGTGACGCTTGTGTACTATGAAAAGGAGCGCGTAGCTCGCGTCGCTCGCGTTGCTTGCTCGCGTTGACTATGTAACGGCCCTAAAGTGGAGCGCGGCGCAACAGAAGTGTCGCACGGACAAGTGGATCTGCACCGTCTCGCATTGTGCAACAACTACGGCGGCGACACTCGCTCCGGTTTAACCCTTAAGCTATGGGGCGGTGGTTTCTGCTGCTTACAAACGATACCTCCGTCCCGATGTTCGGGATATTCTTGACGCCCAGAAAGCCATGAGCTCAAGTCTCTGATTTGTTTAGTTAATAAAACACATTTGATCATTTTGCTCGCGCTCTGCTCAGTTAACGCCCCTGAATGCGCTATCAGCTGTTAATGTATTCATCTAGCTCGTTCTCAGAGGTGGATTAGTCATCTATCCATAGAGCTTACACTGTAGACTGTCAAACAGTTTAAATACAGATAATCTAGGTAACAGCATGTTTTAGCTATCGCGGTCTTGATTAGTCATTTCAGTAATTAATATTTTTACTATTAGCCTATAAAACGCTAAATTAGGGCGGCTCAGTCGACACCGTTCGAGACACTCAATTTTGTTTTGGGGGGAATAGCTCATGTAGTCAAATAAATCATCCTCTGTATCACAGAGGATTGCCAGGTGTGGTTTTGTTTGGGGGGATATTTTTAGCTCTCACAGTCTAAAACTGTGTGAGCGTTCCCTAATGCTGCTGCTGCTGTCCTCTGACTCTCTGCTATTTCATGGTGCTCATGAAAGGTCAGAGGACTCCCTGAACAGAGCCATACCGCCAAATTTCAATTCAGGAACATCAACCTGTTTGCAATCTATTCAATTCAATTCTAAATTATTTTGTCTGTGTGTTCTTGACTTAATGGACCTGACAGAACTAGGCTTATAAATCATTGTTGTAAAACTCACTGTGACTTTGGGAATCCTGTATAGTCTACTAGACAAAATACTAACTGAATTTACTCATGATTTTGTTAACATAATACTGTTTGTTTGTCATGTAGCTTCTTGTGGGCCTTACTAAAAATAATACATAAAAATATTTGTAATAATATTATTTAAAAAAATATAAATGAAATAAATTTAAATTGTAATTTTATACATATATTTATATTTCATGTATATGCAATGCATTTAAATTATAATTGTATTCATATATAATTACATTATATAATTTATAAAAAAAATAATCATTTAATTAATACATTTTTGTTTGTATATTTCAAAATAATTGTATGTGTGTATATATATATATATTTTTTTTTCAAGCCGCTGGAATAATAGTAATGTTGTTTATCCTGCTGACGTTTCTTCTAGATCTTTATAAGCTGCTGCTGGTCTTTCTAACTCACTCGTTTTTGGCACCAGTAGTCTGTGGAAAAATGAGATTTGAAAAGTTGTTGAGCTGTAGATCTTTTTGTCGTGTCTCACTGAAGAACTCCTCCAGCACACGCTTCCCAGTGCCAACTGCTCCACTGGAATAAATTACCCACAAATGGGCTTGTCTAACCTGAACAAATGTGTTGAGCGCGCTCACGGCTGGTGTCACTTCTTGTTGTTTTTCTGAGTAATGCGTGTGTGTCTGTGTGTGTGTGTGCGCGTGTGTGCGTGTGTGTGTGTGTGCGTACGCGCGTGTATGTGTGCGTGCGCGCGTGTATGTGTGCGCGCGCGTGTATGTGTGTGTTGTACTTCAGCACAGATTTGTCATCTTTGATTTATTGTAAACAAAGATTTAGCTAAAGTAAACTTCACATGACTGTTGACTCACGCAAATGACGTGTTTCTAGAGGATTTCAGGTTTCATTTCTGTCTAATGAGCGTTAGTCTGATGTTAATTTCTGAATTCTGTTTGACAGCATGCTAATATGCAGTTTTAATGGTTGTTTTCCAAGGCGAGCGAGCATGACTGTTACTGTCGCTCATTCCTGCGGTTGCTGATCTGGACCAAAGTCAAGTCTAATCTGGTCTTTAAATTGGTGCCATGTGTCAATATGAAATCATGGAGCCCCATAAAGCCTGTGATTGTGCATTTCACTTCTCTAAACTTAGCATTATTA